AAAGTCTAATTCACTTACACTTCACCCAAATGCTACCTACAGTACCAGGCAGGAGGTTGTGGTTCCGTTTCTTACCACACAATGGAACGCCACTCACTGGGTCGCCAGTGTGAAGGGCCTAATTACTTCTCATTACATCGAGCAGGACGTGTGAATCTATCCTGCCCATTCCCTCCCATTGATTGTTCTTACTAAGCCCAATTTATAGCAAAGCGAGACTTGGTTGTTCTAATACTATTTACAAATTGATTAAGTATTGTGTAAGATACGTAAAATGCCCAATGCCTCTGTTTGGGGTACATCCTGCTACTCAGGATGTTGCTGCTATGTGCTTAGTTGACAGTTTTATGGCTGCATCTGTACTTTTTGCTTATCAGAAACAAGCAACAGTACAAGACTGCTTGTCCTGTGTTCTTGACGTTGTCTTGCATACCATGCTTAATCTGCATTGTTATGCAAAACAATTCCTGACTCTCAGGCCCTGCCTGCGTGCTTTGGCGCGCCAGAATGGAAACAGGCCAGAAATCCGCATTTTGGACAAAGCAGACATCACCATTTATTGCCAAGGCAGGGTAGTCCAGGCTCCCCTACAGTTTTCCATAGGCTCTTTCTCAGGAAAGTCCTATATTGTTTGGGCTGAAACTTTCCAGAATAATACAGTTTGAGATACATACCTATCTTTAAAATGTTCAGCCCTAATAGTTAAAACTTGGCAGAGTTTTAAACAACTGAAAACAGGATAGGGGTTGGAATTAGGGGTGGTGCTGCACCCCTGGTTTGAAGCCATTTCCATCAGATTGGTTAAATGGTCTTCAGTATCCCACCTATATAAATTGTTCCAGCTCCATTGGAAAACAGGGTCTTATAACAGGAATTTTCAGGCAGCTTTAATAATACAGCAGACTTCTGATAATCCAGAACCTTTGGGACCGAGGTGGTGCCAGATTATCAGATATGCCAGACTATCAGGAGGTACTATAAGCTTGTTTTTTATATATATATACAGGCAGTCCCCGGGTTACGTACAAGATAGGGACTGTAGGTTTGTTCTTAAGTTGAATCTGTATGTAAGTCGGAACTGGCGTCCAGATTCAGCCGCTGCTGAAACTGATCAGTTTCAACAGTGGCTGAATCTGGATGCCAGTTCTGACTTATATACAGATTCAATTTAAGAACCCCAGGCAACCCCAAGTCAGCTGCTGCTGAAACTTATCAGCGGCTGATTCCAGGAAGCCTGGGGCAGAGGCTTCCCGTAGTCAGCCGCTGGTCAGTTTCAGCAGCGGCTGAATCTGGACGCCAGGTCCGACTTACATACACATTCAAACTAAGAACAAAACCCCACCACCC